GGGCCATGAGTCCATTCTTCAACAGTGCTATGGGCAGGGGAGGAAATGTGCTGATTGGCCAGGTTTTAAGGAAAGAAACCACACAGATGTGTCCCATGTATGTGACCATCGCCACACACCTGGTCATGGTCATGATTGTTGCACCTGGCAGCCCTGCTCAGCACTACAAGTGGGTTTTCCAGGTGAAAACAACAGATGCCCAAAGTCTCCCTTTGCCTGTCCTGCAAAAGCCATTGTTACACAAGCCTCATCCCATGACCCCTGAGAGGGAACACAAGTTCCTTGCACCCTGGCTTTCACATATAAAGGTATGGGCCTTCTGTGATCGTCTCTCCCTACAGACATAAGCATGGATGCAGCAGACGCTGGTGGAGCTGGGCCTCACCACAGCATGAACATCAGCCAGGCTACCAACTACACAAGGCTTTCTCCTGCCACTGGAGCCCAAACTGCTGTAGACACAACAGGCAGATGTTGGTGTGGACACAGCTCATTATTTGGAGCCTGGGCGAGAGTTCCGATGCCTGTCTTAAGAGTATGGTGAGAAAAATAAAAGACAGAGATGAGTATAGCAATGAACCAATGGCTGGGAAGTCAATATCTCTGGATGGGTCCTCCTGTACTCCCATAGCAGCCACCATTTATCAGGTATATATAGTGATAGGCGGGGCTAGCAAAGGATCACAGTTCAGCAGAAGACTCAGACTCAAGAGGGTCTAGATGATCCATATGCTAAAAAGGATATTGTCCTGGAGTATAATCCTGGGATGACTCATGAAGGTGTAGATGATCTTATGCTAAGAAGGGTCAATGAGAAATCTCAGATGAACAGTACCGATAGATAATCCCAAACCTCCATTTTATCCCTTAGGGAAGTATGCAGAATTAGCCATTGTGAATTTGTGGTCCCCCAACAGCTCCTCAGAAGGGATCACTCTGGGGTGACTGTCCAGCATTGATTCCCAGAGTCATGCAATGTGGGCAGCCCCAATTCCTTGGGTGCTAATTGGCTAAGAGTATCCCTTTTAGGCCAGGCATGGTGGTGCATATCTGTAATCCCAGCACTTGGGAGGCTGAAGCGGAAGGATAGTTGCAAGTTAGAGACCAGCCTGGGCTACCAAGTGAGCTCAAGGACAGCCTGAACTGCATAGTGAGATGCTGTTTTAAAAGAGAGAGAGAGAGAAAAAAAAGTGCCCCACACACCCCTGCTGATGGCTTTCCCCTCTCCCTTCTGCTGCCTAGAATCACCTCCCCAAGAAACCGTACCTGAGTCCCTGTCTCTTTCTGGAAGAACTAAGCTAAGATGGAGCACTTCCTATGTGCCTGTGTGTGTAGGCAGGTACATGTGCATGTGTACATAGGTGCTTGCCCTGCTACCAAAATCAGTTTTTGCTTTGTCTGTCCAATGCCTTTTTCCCTTGGAAAAAAACACTTCTCCCTTCTCGAAGGAGCATGCAGGCAAAATGCAAGCTGTAGATTACATGGTTCCGTTGTTGTGGTATCAGGGACTGGTCTTGGAGATTCACAGACAACCCATGAAGGACCAGTTGGAATCTTTCCTGAGACTAAATTGGAACGAAGAGGCACTCAGGACTCATCACGAAGAAGTAACTCATTCTCTGTAAGAGGGATGCTTGTGAGTCTGGACTCCTTTTCAAGTCTGGTAAGTTGTCTCTACTAGTAGCCCACAAAGTGGCTTAGACCTAGGGTCTGCGAGCCACTGTGTCGTAAGTGGGTGTATCACCCATGGGCTACCTTGTCACAGAATAGAGATGCTAGCCATATGGTTATGCATCTCTGCCATGTTCCTGCAGTACACAGCACACACTAGCCCCAGGTGAACACTGCATGCCTACGGAACACATGTATGTGGATGATGACCTGTTTCAGATGAATGGCCACCTAGACTATCTGAGATATATCACCACCTTTGGGGAACTTTCGTTTCAGACCTTTGGCCCAAAAACCAGCCAATCTAGTGCCCTTGGGACCAGATTTTTCTCCTGGACCGTGGGCCAGAGAGAACTAGTTGTTGATGGGTATGTAAAAAATGCCTTGAGTGTTGTGGCTGAATATGGAAATTTTAAGACAGCAAAGTGGTCATATGCATAAAAAGTCACAAAGATGGGCTTTTGTTCCTGAAGGATCATCCCAAAGGACACACACACACACACACACACACGGAGGAACTATGACACAAATGAGAAAATAATTTTTCAAGGAAGCAATTTCTTTAGGGGTATTTCTGGGAATAAAACCCATGACCCCGTGTATGTTAGAAAAATTCTCTATCATTGAGCTATACCTCCAGCCCTGCAATTCCTTAACATGACATATACACTCTCCTAGGACCCTAAAATTAGAAAGGAAAAATTACACAATAAAAATGACAAACTATTGCTATACAAGCAATACAGATACAGTTCATGGGCATAATAGTGGGTGAAGGATGTTAGACACAAAGTTATATGTGTGCTATGTGAACTTTTTATAAAGGTTCCAGAACAAACAAAATCAATCTCATAGATGTCAGAATAGTGGTTGTCTTTGGGAGAAGATGACAGGATGGGACACTAGTAGCTTCTAAAATTCAACTTCTTGTATTTTGTTCTGTGTGGCGGTCATTCACACAGAAAAATATACGGAAGCAGGAGGATTGCAAGTGTGAACCCAGTTTGGGCAGTAGCAACTTAGTTGGATCCTGTCTCAAAAAATAAAATAAAATAAAATAAAATAAAATAAAATAAAATAAAATAAAATAAAATAGAGAGCTGAGGATGTAGCTCAGTGTGAAGACTCTGGGTTCAGTCCCCAGTACCACCACCACTACAACCCTGGAAAAGTCATACAGTTTACCCTTGACTTATACATGTATTACAGGTATACTTCAGTTGAAATGTTTCTGGAGAGGATCTTAGGTGTCCTAGGAGAAGATTCAAAGACAGGATATCTGGCTTGTCCTGACTGCTCTGGCCCCGCCACACTTTCTGCCATTTCCTTTCTAGTGGGCAAGTACATTTCACAAAATATCCCTAACTCAATTGTTCTAGGTATTATTGCCCTTCTTAGGGATGAGGAAACCTAGACTCAGTCAGATTAAATGACTTTCCTAACCACTGCAACAGATAATATAGAAATATAGGGAATTATAATTCAAAGTGAAAAAAGTTGCATAAATTTTAGATGAGCTTGATAATTATAAGTGCAAAAACTAAAGGTATATTTATATAAAAGCAGTTTTGTTAATGCTTAGTTGAAAGCACGGAGGCTTAAAAATTTTATCCTTATTATCTTTATTTTTCAATTTAAAAATGATTAGAAAAAATATTAAGTCCTTCTTTGTACTCTCAAATCATTATGTTGCAAGCTTTGACTCATTTTGACCTCCTTCACCTGTCTCCTTTCCTCTTTCCCAGCCTTCAGATCAGATTAGATTGTCTATCTAGTTTCTCCTAAGATCTCGTGTTCTCCAAATGTACCCACACCCTGTTTTGTGAGATGAGATTTTTTTTTTTGAGTGTCAGCTCTTTGTTTGGCAATCCCTGTTCTGTTTTGATAATTTCCTGCTTTATGCTCATAAAAACTACTGGACCGTATATAGTTCTACATAAATAAAAACATCACTGCTTCATTGTCATGGAGACGGCCCCTCCCCACCTCCAGCCTGTAAGTCTGGTTTGTGCAGCTGGTGCATCGGGCTTTAGAGAGCTGCAACCTTACACAGAAACAGAATTGACTTCCTGGCATGGCAAAGTTGGAAACTGAGCTTCTGAGATGGGGACAGGGACTGCTGGCAGATCTCTGCCTTCCACATTGGCCTTGCCCATTGTGTCATTATGGACATGGATTTAGCTTGTGTAAAGCCCCAGATAATAGAAGCTCCAACCCAAAATCCATAATGGACTTCCTTTATTTTGGGGGTCCAGATTGTCCTTTTTTAAGTTGCTAAATTCTGAGTATTTCCTTCATCTGCCCTCATCTGGGTACTGTCCAGGATGGCTCACCACCATATCCATATGCCAGCCAGAGAGATGAAGTAAAGGGGTCCTGAGCGCATGCCCCTCCCTTTAACGTCTTGCCAATTTGCACCGGCAGGATTGATATCAGGTTCCAGGTTCAGCATGTTCTCGTATCAGAAGAGGCACTGGGTGCAGGACTTGGCTTTATCTTGTGGTGACCTCTGGTGCTGCTGTCCTCTGGCTGTGGTTAATGCCTCCTCAGTTGGTAGGTCTTGCTCAACTGCTGAAGAAATGTTGTCATGCCCTAGTCTCCTATGACATCATATCCCTTGGCTCACTTTTTGCTGTGGCCATTGCTGCAACCAGCTGCCCATCATCCCCTCACATCCGATGCCTCTGCCTTGGTTGCTGAGGACTTCCTGTCTCTGCCAGATGGGAAGCCAGGGAGCTCACCAACCTCCCTGGAGCAGGTACCCCGGGGAGACTTGAGGGAGCTGATACTCTGGAGCAACCACTGGCTAGTGGGATATAGGAGAGAGTGGACAGTCTCCACTTCCAGGTGTCAGGTAGACAATCCTAAAGTGCCTTCTACATGGCTCCCCAGAATGTCCCTGTTGGGCTGAGCTGCGCACAGTGGTGACCTGCACTGAGTACCCCTTCACTGGCTTTTCCTGCTTTCTAATTTTGTAATCCTAGTGTCCTACTCTGGCTCTTTTGATTCACTTTCCCAACTGAACTACTTGCTCTAAAGTCCTTGCATCAGGCTTTTCTTTTTGGAGGAAACCTATGTACAACAGGTCTGCTGAGGGGTTTTGGGGAGCAGACAGACATCCGAGATGATGTAAGATGCTCGTGTTCTTCCTCTTTTTCTGCAGCATGTTAGGATTGGAGAGATCCCTGGACAGGGTGACAGAAGAGGAGAAAAGGACAATTGCATCCCATTTCACAGCAATGAACCATTTCAGTGCTGAGGATTTTCAAATTTATAAATGTAGCTCTCACCTTGCAGAGAACTCTAGCATCAGGCAAGTGAGCTTGTCTCATGTCTCAACTAGATGTCTAACAGACACAACATGGTTGAAACAAATGTCTCCTCCCCCTGCGCTTTCTCTCTGTCTCCAGAGATGTGTCTCCCTTATTCTTTCTATTTCAGGCAATAGCACCATTGTTCACTCATTTGTTCAGGCCATTTGTCTCTGTCTCTGTCTCTGTCTCTCTCTCTGTCTTTGTCTCTCTCTGTCTCTGTCTCTCTCTCTCTGTCTCTCTCTGTCTCTCCCTCTCTCTCTCTCTCTCACTAGGAATTGAACTCAGGACCTTGTGCTTGCCAGGCAGGCGCTGTGCCATTGAGCCACATCCCCACCCTTTAATTCCTCTCCTGTCCTTGTCTCTATCTGACCCATCAGCACAGCTATTGAGTTTTACTTCCTGAATATCTTATGTCATTGACTCTAAGACCCCTTTCTCCCATGTGACAATGTCTATGAATTGAGACTGAATCTTATAATTGGTGGCATGGTATGGTTTAATTAATGGTGTTTTCTTTCTACAGTGACATTCCACTGCCCTGGCCATCTGTCTCCTGCACTAGCAATCTGGTCCGAGCCCTCTCCCCCCACACCACAGCAGTGGACTGATAACTAATCTCTTGCGCTTCCACTCTTGGCCCTCTTCAGTCTGTTCAGCGCCCAGTGACCAGAGAATTTTTTTCAAATTAGAAATCAGCTTTCCCTGTTCTTGTGCAGAAAGTTTGAACAGCTTCCGATTGTATTCAGAATGAATCCTAAAGTCTTCCCCACAGCATGTAATCCTCTGTGGAATGAGGGCGCCTCGCTTCCAGCTATTTTTCGTGCTGTGCTCCAGCTCAAATTCTCAAGCTTTCTTGACAACTCTCAGACAGATCCAAGCAAACACTGTCTGGAAACCCCTTTCTCTGCACTCATCTCCTACCTTTATTTTCTTTTTGTTCAAATGCCATCTCCCCACAGGACCACGCTGGCTGAAACCATCATCTCCTTCCCTCTCTGTTTTCTTTGCAACACTTATTGAAAATCCTGTACTTCATTTAATTGCTCATCTTCTTCCCCAACCCACACAGTATAAATTCCTTAGGAACAGGGACCTTGCTTCTGTCCTCTGACCCCTAGCATGTATTGGATGCTCTCTATATATTTGTTAAATGAAAGACTCAACGAGCGGAAATTCAAAGTCCTGAGAAGCGTAGATAGTATCACCTCAGAGCAGCTCTTTACTCTTGTCTGTCTCTATTTCTGCAGGAAGAAGTGACCATTGTACCAGCCAGCCCTGCTGGGTGAGGTACAGGAGCGATGTGGGTTGTTTCAGTTGTACTCTGAGGTCAGCTTCATGACTTTATTTGTTCATACTCCACCTCATTTCACAAAGGACTAGATGTGGCTTACAGGAAACACACAGTGCATTAGCGAAGTAAAAATACAGAATAAAATTCGGATGAGGGAGCAGATTTTAAAATAGATTGCCCCTGATGCACCTGGGATGTTTGGGTGGCAAGTGTATCTCAGAGTGTATGGATGGCAAAGCACAGAAGACATGAAACTTTCTGTGAAACTAGTTGAGGACTCAAACAAAAGTGGGTCTGTGGCTGGCAGGAAGATGGGGGTTACTGGAGGGCTCTGCAGAGAGCTGGAGAGCTCGATGAGGCCTTGTATGTATTTTCTCTTGGCCCAATAGTTCTGGTGGTAGAGATAAAGAGAGTGCTAGGAAGGAGGCTTCGGTTTGAAAATACAGTCCTACCAATGACTTCCTCTCCTACTGTGTCCAGCTCTCCATGCTGGACCTTAGCAAATCCATTTGATGGACCCACCTGGGGAAAGCCAAGCTGTGTCCCTCTTCTCATCTTCTCCCTGTGACAGTTATATCATCCACACTCCACTTTCCAAATAAACTGGCATGTTCAGTTGGTAACTGAATTTCAACCAGTTCAGTTTTGCTTTATTCCTTTGCATTTGCATGTCTGACCTAAGCTTCGGCTTCAGCCGAGCTCCCCTCTCAGCTTTCATTTGGTTCATCATGTTGGAATGTGGCAGACAGTCAGAGTCCAAATTGTTTCCTGATCTTTGCTACTGACAGGCGGGTCATTGTTACAGGAGCAGAGTTACTCACCACCGTGAGCTGAAGAGGCGAATCCGGACAGGTCTGCTTGGCAGCCAATCATCGGGCTGCTGTGAGTGGGCTTTGTTCATGGGCTTCGGATGTACCTGCGTTGCTCTCTCTTCACACAGATGCCACACCAAAGACTGAGCGGGCCAAGGTAATCTTAGCCCCTTAAGAAATAAATTGGTTTTTTCCAAGAAACATATGCCATAGTTGGTACATTGAACTCTCTATTAGCAGTTAATCCTACCCCTCACAGAAATCCCAAGATGTAAGCAAGATATAAGTAAAACAAGCAGAAGTGGACCTGAGTAAAGGAGTCCCCCATATGCTATGACCCCAAGACATGTTAGAGAGGTTTAAAAATCATAGGTAATAAAAATAACCTGAGGCCCATCAATAGGAACTAGATAAACTGTGCATCCATGAAATGGAATATAAAAAGAACAAACTCAGCAATAAAAAGAATGAACTATGAAAAAAATGAGCTACTGATATGTACTGCCACATGAATGAATATAAAATACATATTCAATATAAGGAGCCAGTCATAAAAATGAAGTATGTTTCTGTTTATATGAAGTTCTAAAACCTGCAATGCTAATTCATAGCATAGAAGTCAGGACAATGGTGCCTGTGGGTATGCATTTAAATGGAGAGGTGATGAGAGAATTTTGGGGGTATTGGGAACCATCAATCACTTCTTTGGGGTAGTGTGTATGCAGCCGTACGTATCTGCTCAGATTATACACTTACTATCTATGTAAATTTTACCTCCACATTAAGACTAATATGATCTCAGAAGTTGATCCTGATGTACTGTTTAAATAAAAGAATGTTTCATCCACCTTTTGACTCCTGTAAATGATTTTCTGCACCAAAAGCCTGCTTGGGTGACTACGTTCACCAAACCAAGCAATACTACTTCCCAAAGGTGAATAAATGTGTCCATCTCCAGAGGCTAAAAACTTCCTGGCATCTTTAATCATGGTCATTTTCCAGGTCATGAGCCTGCCTTCTTTCCTGTCATTGCAATGTGAGAACCATTAAGATCCAGCCTTGGCCTTACCACCCTGCGTACGAGGACAGTGTGTTGGCAAGCTTTGTAGTAAGAAACTAGCTTCAAAGACTGATCACAGTCTTGCAGTATCCATAAACTCAGGCAGGGTACTTAACTGGAGCTGCAGTTTCTGTCTATGAAATACCAGTTTTGAGAATTAAGTGTGTTGACATGGAAGCACTTAGTATAGTTCCTGGCAGAGTGGCCAGATGTACAGTTACTATCTACCCCCCTTATCTGTCTTCTCTTTAGCTGAAGCAGTTTAAATTGATCCTCTGAAGGTGACATTTGCCTAATTGGATCACGGAAAGCACACTTTTCTCAAAGGTGGGTTACATTTCTTGGGTGCCTTTGAGTTTGATACGGGGTCAATGGCTGGGCTACAGAGTCCAGCAAGAATGCAGCTACAGGGGAGGGGGGAGGACAAATTCACACTGTTCTTTTGTGCTAAAACCTGAGACAAAATCAGGAAAACCACTATCAGTTTAGAAAATTCACCTCAAAACTCATGAAATATTCAAACAACTGCTATTATTATGATTTGTGTCTAGAGGACCTCCCAAAGCCTCATGCACTTTTAGATGGGGCTTTTACAGAGGTAGCTAAATCTAGAGTTCGTCATTGATTCATGGTTTAATGCTGGGATTAAGAGTGGGTGATTCCTATATCAGTCCTCTAATTCAGTTGGCACTGCCCTAATCCCAGCAGTCTAGATAAAATAAAAGACTGAGAAAGAGGCTTCTATTTCTCTTTTTCTCTTGTTGCTTTTGCTGTCTTCCTCTGCCATAAACTGTTGCCCTTCTGCCATGTGCCATCTTGCCTTGGAACCAGCCAATTATGAGCTGAAACCTCTACAAACTGTGAGCTAAGTGAATCTTTCCTCTCTTAATTTTGGGTACCAGGTTTTTGAGAGAAAAATAGCTAAGACGGCTACTAAAGACTTGATGAGGAAAAAACAATTATGATTTTGGGAAAAACATTTTTCCAGTAACAGAATTTTTTTCCATTGAGGATACAGCCATTTAATGTCTCTATGACAGGACGGGGCTGAAGACAAAACAGCAGAGTCTATGGTAACAACACTGATCATTGTTCCACTCTTGTAGGCTTTCCAAACACTTGGTTCTGCAGTGTGTGAGTCAGGCAGACCTTCATCCCCAAGAGACTTGAACCTTGAGGGTCAAAGTACCACTCTATCTGCTCTGCCTTCCGTCCCGAATCCAGCTCCAGCTGCACTTCTTGGAGAGGAAGTGCTCTGTCCTCAGCTCTGTGCCAATCAGGAGGATAATAAACAAAACACCCTTGAAGCTATATGGATGGATGATACCCAAGAGGTATCATCTCTTCACAAGAAAAAGATTCTCTTCAACCAAGATGCAACTAAAACCAATATTTTTTTTAAAGAAGGATCACATTGAGATATTTATTTATTTATTTAATTTTATTTAAGGAGAAAAGAAAAAAAAGCAGAGAAAGGGTACAAATTATACAGATTTACAGAAAAAAATGAACAGTAGGAAATCACTAGTTAATGGATTACATATTGTTATCTTAGAAATAATTGTTCAAGTCACAAAATTAAAGCTTGTAAAGTGGACATTCCATCAATGATACTGCAAACAGTTCTGTTCAATGATCCAATAAAACTCTGTGATATCATTTTCTATCTTATACACTTAAATATACATGCAGTTATATAGTTTAGAGCACATTCTTTTCCTCTCTTTTGTACCATGACTATTACACATTTTGGGTTTCATTGCTCCCACGGTTCTTATTACTTTTTTGGACGAGAGTAAAACCAAATGTGACATAACAGAACAGAATCGGTCAAGTCAAAAGGGTGGACATAATAGATAATGTAAAAACATAATACAAGGTGATCAACAATGGTTACCATAATGCCTCCCGCTATCTCTAATAGAATTGCCAATATCGTTAGTTAAAATACAATTGAACAAAACAGTAAAAAATAAAACCGACAAAACCAAAACATTGGAGACATTGTAGGTCTTCAAAAGTAGATAAAAGTCAACGAGAATGGGCGTTATAATGAATCTCATTATCTTCACAGCTGATGCCTAAACTTTCGAACCTGATACTATCCAGCAAAACAGAATAGGGGAACATCAGTTAAAAACCAGATGGTGAGAGTAATACAGGGCTTTAAATCGAGGTAATGGAAAGTCAAAGTGGGTTACTATAATATATCCTGCTATTTTTTCCTTTAATTAAAAGGATAAAAGATAAAAAAGTAAATAATGGAGTGGAGATTGAGATAAAAGAGGGCATAACAACGAAACAGCACAGATCAAAGCATAACCATTTAAGCAGAATAGTGTTTCACCACCAGATAATCCTAACCTAAAAGTAGTTACCATATTGTCTCTTTCCTTGAAATCCTTGAGTACAACTTCGTATACTGTAGCATTAAGTATATCAAAACAATGTAAAACCATTTAAGAGAATGACAGCATTACAGAGTATTTAGAATCGACTAACAGAAAATGAACAATGGTTTCTGTATAAGGTTTTTAAAAGGTTTTTGCTTATACTATCGTACATAATAAAATCCAATAAGATACAACCTATTTAGACCATTGGAGACAGAAGGACAAAAGCTAGATGAGACTTCAAAACAAGATGATACTAAATCAGTATTACCTATCAAGATGTCATTTTCTCCAAAATAGCTGTTCCTATCATCCAATCTTCTCTGCCTCATTTCTGTTGAGCTCTTTTTCTGTCAGTAGCTGTCAGTTTGTCTTCTTCATTTTGTTCTCTGCTCCATTCGTTGTGGCCTCCCCGCCACTATTTCTGGATTCTTTGTATTTTTATTTTTTTAGAATATCCTGCAATACTCTCTGTAGAGTTGAACTGGTGGTTGCAAATTCCCCCAGTTCCTCTTTATCCTGGAAGCACCTTGTTTTTCCATCAATTTCCAGGGACAGTTGTGCAGGATATCTTAATCTTGGCTGGAGATTATTATCTTTCAAAGCTTGAATTATTTCCCCCCACACTCTTCGTGATTTGATGGTTTGTGCAGAGAAATCTACTGTAATTCTGATGGGTGTTCCCTTGTAAGTGGTCTGTTTCTTGTCTCTTACAGCTTTTAATATTCTGTTCTTGTATTGAATTTCTGGAATTTTTATTATTATATGCCTGGGTGTCGGTGTCGCTCCCGGCCAGCAGGAACAGCACGCAACAATATCTGGCGGTGGTCAGGCTTTTCTTTATTCTCTCCTTATACAGTCTGCCCCGAAGCCTCTACCGGTCCGCTCTCCGCGGCTCCTTCCGTGCTTCTTCTCTACAGTCTGTCCCGAAGCCTCTACCGGTCCGCTCTCCGCGGCTCCTTCCGTGCTTCTTCTCTACAGTCTGTCCCGAAGCCTCTACCGGTCCGCTCTCCGCGGCTCCTTCCGTGCTTCTTCTCTACAGTCTGTCCCGAAGCCTCTACCGGTCCGCTCTCCGCGGCTCCTTCCGTGCTTCTTCTCTACAGTCTGTCCCGAAGCCTCTACCGGTCCGCTCTCCGCGGCTCCTTCCGTGCTTCTTCTCTACAGTCTGTCCCGAAGCCTCTACCGGTCCGCTCTCCGCGGCTCCTTCCGTGCTTCTTCTCTACAGTCTGTCCCGAAGCCTCTACCGGTCCGCTCTCCGCGGCTCCTTCCGTGCTTCTTCTCTACAGTCTGTCCCGAAGCCTCTACCGGTCCGCTCTCCGCGGCTCCTTCCGTGCTTCTTCTCTACAGTCTGTCCCGAAGCCTCTACCGGTCCGCTCTCCGCGGCTCCTTCCGTGCTTCTTCTCTACAGTCTGTCCCGAAGCCTCTACCGGTCCGCTCTCCACGGCTCCTTCCGTGCTTCTTCTCTACAGTCTGTCCCGAAGCCTCTACCGGTCCGCTCTCCACGGCTCCTTCCATGCTTCTTCTCTCGTGGCGGGAGAGGCACTCACTTTTATAGGGTTACAGTGGCCAATCAGTTCAAAGCGCGCGATGCGGGCTGATTGGCTAACATCAGTTGTTGCTAGGCAGACTATCTTACAGGGCGGGTTGTTTACCAAGCAGGAAGCAGGAGATAAGCACCATCTTAGCACACTCGATGGGAGGGGTAATCTAGCTCAGGCTTTGCTCTTTCTTACAGGCCTCACGTCCACCAAGTAAGGCGACCGGGCTCGGCCGCGGCTCCCAACATCTCCCCCTATTTTATTTTACAAGAACGAGTGCATCGCAGCCCGTCCTGGATCGAGCGTAGAGGCCTACGCCCTGTATCTGAGGCCCACCGCAGGCCTTTGGGTTGGAACCCAGGCGGCCGTCCCAGGGTCCACCAAGGCCTTGAGGCCCTCGTCCTTTTTTCCAGGGCCAGGAACGAACTGGACGGAACCTGGATGCACATAGGCATGCGCTCACGTCTCTCCTTATGATCCCCTTTGGAGAGGCATCTAGATTCGGGGTGGAATCTAGTGATCCAGCGGCTTTCGTGTGATGTGGGGTAGGGCCTGGCTTAGGTCGAGTCATGCTGGGGTGGCATGCTCTTACCCGTCATTGACTCACCCACCCTGCTATATATTGTCACCTTAGGGAGGAGAATGAGGGATGCCCACCATATCTAGACTCGGTCGTAGGCCAATCGAGCAAGCCATGCGTATGCCTGAGGGTCATTTTGTCCATTTTGGACTGCTGCCAGAGCCGCGTGGGCAACCAAGCGGACCTGTCGTCGGTCCGCCGCAAGGCGTCCATTAATAAACGATGTGACCCATCTGAGCAAGAATGGTCCTATAAGTAAAAGCAGAAGCAGGGAGCAGATAGCACTCCCAGTGTAGAGGGCAGCCCTTTTTTGGCTCATCTTGACTTTACGTCTACGGCTGGTCCCTGGTGGGGCAAGTCTGGTCTTCGGCTGATGGACTTGTCGCACGTGTCAGTCTCTCTGGGACCCACAGTGGTTCCCGTCCCGGTTCCTGCGGAAAAACACAAACCGCACCTCGGTTCCAGCTGATTACCGGATCCGGGCCCATCCATTGTCCTGTTAGGACATCTTTCCATTTCACCCATCCCTTATTGCTAGGAGATGGACTAGAATGCTCCATAGCTGGCGAGCGGTTATTATTGTTTAAATTTAAAAAATTGTATGTGAACAGTGCCATAGATAACCGTGCCTTTGGAGGCAGGCCTTGGCTTACTCCTCCTCTTTGTTTATATAAAACTTCTTTGAGGCTTTTGTGAGCTCTCTCAATAATTCCTTGACCTTGTGGATTGTATGGGATACCATGCTTTAATTGTCTGCCATTGATCTTAAGCAAAAGCATGGGCCTCTTGTCAAGAGTCATGTGGAGTACTGGAACCTCTTATGGAGGCTGGGGAGCAGCAGGAGCTGTGCTATCCTGTCCCCCTCATTAATTACCATAGTACCTACAAGAGTTTGAACCATAATCTGAATATTTCCTGTATAATCTGAGTCTGTGACCCCAGGGATCACGGTGAGACCCCGAAGGGCCGTGGAGGACCTTCCGATTACTAGGCCAACTGTATTTTCAGGCAGCGGTCACTTGAAGGTGGTTTCGACCACCTGAACACCCATGTTGGGCGCTAATATGAGTCTGGAGGCGACACAGAGGTCCACGCCTGCTGACCCAGGGGTAGCCCTTGTGGAAGGCTGCCACCCTGTGTTGTTCTGTCTTGGGGGTGGGGGCCCGCCGGCGAGGAGGGCCCCCTCTGGCCGTTTTTTGGCTCGTTAACATCTCGGCCACAAATACGATTTCCTTGAGCATCATAGACTGATCTGCAATCCTCTGCCTTATGTGGGCCCTTTCTGCATCTCCCGCAGACGCCATACGATCCCTCGTTTTTGGGGCGAGGCCTGGCGCTTGTGTTATTCGGGCAGTCGCGTTTGATATGCCCTGGGTCCCCACAGCTGAAGCACCCCTTGGCCTTGCGCTCTTTCCTCGGCCCTCGAGGGCCCTTTTGTTGTACTGCCGCGGCTAGGAGGGCCGCAACTCCTGAATTGGAAAGTGGCCCCCCTATTTCTCTGCATATTCTGATCCAGGCGTTAAGGTCCTTATTCTTATGTGGGGCTATTGCTGCTTTACATTCTTTTGTACACTGTTCAAAAATTAACTGCCTGATGAGCGGACGAGCCACATCCTGGTCGGAAAATATTTTATCGGCAGCATCCTGCATCCTGGCCACAAAGTCAACGAATGGCTCCGTGGTGCCTTGAACTATTTTTGAAAGACATAGGGAGGCTGTTCCAGCACCACTTACCTGCTTCCAGGCGCGAAGCCCTATGGCATTAATTTGTTCATAAACAGCGCTGGGGAACTGGGTCTGATCATCTGCGTGTTGGCCTTCTCCCATAAGCATATCCTTATTCCATCCCCTGTTTCCTCGACTGGCATTTCTCTCAGCCTGTTCGGCGGAGAACTCCGCGTACCAGGCTCGCCAGTCTAGGTAACTACCCGAGGGCAGGCAGGCTTTTGCCAACTGGACCCAATCCGCGGGGGTAAGGGGCCCGGCGGATAGGTTCTCCAGCATGGCAATGGTATACGGTGCAGTAGGTCCGAAGGTCGTAACAGCGCTTTTAAGTTCTCTAATCTGTTTTATTTCAAAGGGTTCCCACACATTACGTCCCTGGCCTAGGGCCATTTGTACAGGATATATCCCATAGGGGCCGCTATCTATCCCTGGGAACGGGTGGTCTTCATTAGACACACGACCCCCACGCCACAGCTGTCTGTGGAAATAACGTCCCGCCGGTGGCGGAGCATCATAAGATGGCGGCCGCGGTTGGGTAGAAAATGGTGGCCTAGGCATTATTACTTCCTGTACTGGCTGAAGAGGGGGGAAGTCCCAGGCGGCGGCCTCGCAGCGAGGGACCGCTTCCGGGAACGAATTCCAGGGCGGAGCGGAAGGTTCTGTCTCCCTCCCCTGCCAGGGGGCGCTCAGAAGCTCTCTGCTTTTCCGTAAGCCTAGTTGAGTGGAGCGCAGTTCTCGGCGCAACGCGGCGAAAGAGCCGTGTGCCTCCCTATCACTTGGCTTAGCCTCCCGGCAGTCGGCCCTTCTGGCCTCCCCGTCATTCAAGTCTCCCTCTTCCTCGGAGTCTGACGACTCCGAGGCTTGAGCCCTGTCTTCCTCTTCTGTACCTTTGTCCTCCTTGACGGACCCCTCTCGGGAGCTCCTTGACTGTGCCTGTTCAAACACCTCGCGTACTTCTACAAGTTCTTGAGAGCTCCCCCCGTAACTACCCTCACTCTTAGT